GAAGGGAGGGATAAGGGGGGGAGAAAGAAAGGGGGCATTAAGATTAACATGTATAATGTGGGGGGGGAGCACAGGGAGGGCTGTAGAACACAGAGAAGACAAGTAGTGATTCTACTGCATCTCACCACGCTGATGGGCAGTGACTGTAATGGGGGTTGTGGGGAGACTAGATGATGGGGAGAGTCTAGTAAACATAATGTTCCTCATGTAATTGCAGATTAATGATACCAAAAAAAAAAAAAAACCTATCGCACAAAGGTACATTCTACTAGAGTAATGAGTTCTCAAACTGGTGCAGTTTTAATCCCCAGGGGATATTTGGCAATGTCTGGAGAAAATTTTGGTTATCACAATGTGTGTAAGGGGTGCAAGGTATAGAACAGAATGCTACTGGCATGTGGCGGGTAGAGGCCAGGGATGCTTCCAACCATTCTACAATGGAGAGGACAACTTTCCATAATAAAGAATTATCTGGCCCCAAATGTGAACAGTGCTGAATTTAGGAAGCCTTTCTCCAGAATGGTTTGTTAGACCTTGGGTGGGCTTGTACACCATAGTCTAGGATGACCTCTAAGAGGTGCACATGATGACACAGTAATGTTTCCTTATTTCCTAGTTTTTAATAAATTTTCTTAAAATTCACAAGATGTTGATAATTGTTCAATCTGAGTAATGAATACATGGTGATTAATCTCTATTTTTATGAATGTTTGAATTTTTTCTTCATTAAACGGTAAAAAAACAAAACAAAACAAAACAAAAAAGGCGACCTATAGATGGGAGAAAATATTTGCCAATGATTTTCTGATAAGTAGTTAGTTTCCAATATATAAAAGGAACTCCTTCAACTCAATAGCAAAAAGCCAATAACCTGATTTAAAAATGGGCAAAGCACTTGAACAGATATTTCACCAAAAAAGACATAAAAATGACTGACAGGTATACAAAAAAGATGCTCAACATCACTAATCATCAAGGAAATGCAAATCAAAACCATGAGGTATCACTTCATACCTGTTAGAATGAATATTATAAAAAAGACAAGAAATGTTGACAAAAATGTGAGGGAACTGGAATTCTTGCTTGTACATGGTCGGTGCTGTGGCATGAATGTGTCCACCCAAGTTCTTCCATTGAATTCCTAACTCCCGAAGGTGGTAACATTGGGAGGTTAGGCCTTTGGGAGATACTTAAGGGTAGAACCTTCATGAACTGAGTTAGTGCGTTCTAAAAGAGGCTCCAGATCAATCGCTAGCCCCTTTCTAGGCATGAGAGGCACAGTGAGAAGGTGCCAGCAAGAACCAGGTAAAAGACCTTCACCAGAATGCAACCATACTAGCACCTTAATCTCAGACTTCCCAGCTTCCAGAAATGTAAAATTTCTGCCATTATAAGCTATCCAGTCTGTGATATTTTGTTATAGGAGACCAAAAGGGCTAAGACAATTGGTGAGAATGTCACTAAGAGCAGCCACTCAAAAAATTAAAAGTCAAACAACTGCATGATCCAGAAATTCTAATACCACACCAGTGATTTAAGTATATATCCAAAAGATTGAAATCAGGATCTTAAAGGGATATCTGCACTCCCAAGTTCATTGCAGCATTATTCACAATGATCAAAACATGGAAATAAGCCAATGTCCATCAATAGATAACTGGGAAAAGAAAATAAATATGGTTATGCATATACAATCTTAAAAATGAAGGAAATACTGCCATTTGTAATAACATGGATAGACCTGGAAGATACTATACTGAGTGAAATAAGTCAGTCACAGAAGGATAAATACCATGACTCCATTTATATGAGATATCTAAAGTAGTCGAAGCAAAAAATGGTGGTTTCCAGGGGATCAGGAAAGGGAGGAGAGAGTTGTTGTTACTCAATGAGTATAAAGTTAGTTATACAACATGAAAAGTTGAAGATCTCTGCTTTACAACTTAGTGCTTATGGTTAATAATATGATGTTGTGCACTTAATTTGTTAAGAAGAATATATCCCCATAAGTGGATTTGCTGGATCATATGGTAGTTCTATTTTTCATTATTTTGAGGAAGCCCCATAATGTTTTCCACAGTGGTTGTACCAATTTGCATTCCCACCAATAGTACACAAGGGTTTATTTTTATCCACTGCCTTGCCAACACTATCTCTTGTCCTTTTGATGACAGCCATTTTAACACTTATGACGTGATATCTCACTGTGGTTTTGATTTGCATTATCCTGACGATTACTGATGTTGAACCCTTTCATGTACCCATTGGCCATTTTTATATCTTCTTTGGAAAATGTCTATTCAGTTCACCTGCCTATTTTTAATCAAATTGTTTCTGGTTTGTTTTCACTGTTCTGTTGTTTGTGTTTTGCTATTGATTTATATGAGTTCTTTATTTACTTTAGATATTAATCCCTTATCATATATGACTTGCACATATTTTCTCCCATTCTCTAGCATTATTTACGATAGCCATGATATGAAAACCACTCAAGTGTCCCCTAATGGGTGAATGAACAAAGATGTAATGTTGTATACCTGCAGTGGGACAAGCCAGACAGAGGAAGGCAAGTACTGCTTATCATTTACATGAAGAATCTAAAACAAAGTCAAGCTCATAGAAACAGAGAGTAGAATGGTGGTTACCAGGGCTTGAGGAGCAGGGAAAATGAGATACTGGTCAAAGGGTACAAAATTCCAGTTACAAGATGAGTAAGTTCTGGAGATGTAATGTATAGCAAAGTAACTATAATTAATGATACTTATTACATACTTGAAAGTTCCTAATAGCGTAAATCTATTAGTGCTAATTATGTGATAAGGTTTTAGTTAATGCTACTGGGGTAATTAACCATTTTGTACCATACATAAGTGTATCAAATCAGCACATTTATACCTTAAACATTTACAATGTTTTATGTCAATCATAACTCATAAAGCTGACACACACATACATAAAGTTGATATAAAGATATTTATATATACACATATTTATGTTTTAATAAAAGCATGTATATTAATAAATATATTAATACAACTTCTCCCAACCCCACACTAAATGCCAACACTGAATTTGCCACATGCGCAGGCAGGATGTTCAAGGCGCTCTGCTTGTGGGCCCATTGCTCTGGGAGACTTTCCTGATACAACAGGACAAGGAACAAGAATCCTGGTGACAGCAAAGAGTAAGCTGCAGACAAAAACTCACCAATTCCACACATTCTAAGGAAAAACAACATGTGAGATTCCCTCCCTAAGGGCCACTAAGCAGCAGCCAAATGGGCCCTACAGTCACCAACCCCTGCTGCAGCCCGCAGACTCACTCTCCAGGGTGGAGCCCTGGATGTCACTGGTGCTGTGAAGTGCACTGTGTCTGCGTTGAGAGCCCTTTCAAACAGACCCATATTCCCCCCATGGAGGCAGGAGCTCAGGAAGACAAGCACAGCATGAGAGGAAGACTGTCTTCTCAGCCCCGAGCTGGGTACTGGGGGAGCTTAGTGGGAGAGGGTTTCAGTTTTTCAAGCGAATGAAATATTTCTTTTAAGTGTGTCACTTAATTTATATTTTCAGGAATGAGGGGAAAGAAATATGATTTAACTAATGGGTCCTTTGAGGTCAAGTCTCATTTCTTACCTACACATTTCCAGATATATCAATTTTAAAAAGTAACATTATGAGAAAGCTATTTTAAATTAGATAGTCTGTATTACACAGCTACAAATTTAAAGATGCTGGTTTTCAGATAAGATCAAGCAGTTGGTTACTGCCAGCAAATGCTTCAACTGTTTAACTGACAATCTCTAATTTAGTTTTTCAATCAAATTATATGCAGTGAAATTCATTCTTTGTAGTATATGGTTCTACAATTTTTGACAAATACATATGGTCACCTAACCACCATCCACATCAGGACGTGGAGCAATTCCGTGATCCCCCAAAGTTCCTTTGTGCTGCCATGAGGAATTTTCTTTGTGGCACTTAAAATACTGCCTGTCATCTGACAAGGCAATTTGCTTTAAGACAAATACAGGCTTGTCACAGTTGGAAAGAGGCAAAATATCTCAAAGAGTATCAGTAAATGTGATTTCTCAGATGAAAGTAATATTTTCAATTTTACTGAAGTGGATAATGGCACATGCCTTCCAACAAGAGGCATTCTAAGCAAGCCTATCTTTAACTCCGCAGGGGTAAAGTTCATTAGCTGACCTTGTTTTTCCAACTGTAAACAACTAGAAAACCTGATTACCAAGCCTGCCTCTGGCTGTCAGGTTTATAGCTTCTTTTGTTTCCTAGATATTGGAAATTGCCTGTTTCTATAGAATACTATGGTCAACTTTCCTGCCTACACTGGTCTCCATATATTTGATACTTTGTTCCAGTATCTAAAGGGATCTCCTAAGCACCATAAATTGTGGAATACTGGGGAGCAGAAGACATAAGCAAGCATGTAGTTCATCATTTTCCAGCTAGAGTTAATACTCAGAACCTCTAAATGCACAAGTCTGAGTGTCCTAAATTAACCCACCACCACTTCATATAAGCTATTCCACTTGGTATATGTCATAGATTCCACAAAAAGATTTCCAAAATTTCTCATTTGCAGAAATGAACTGAACTACAAATTATACTAGAGAGAAATCATTTCTTTAATACATTCAAGACTTAAGTAGGAGATAAACTATGTTTGTGGATGAAAATTCTTAAAGAAAACAATAGAAATTATGACTTCATTAATTTACAACTTCACTATTTTGATTCCCAAATGGAGAAATTTTGTAACTGAACAGAATCATTGAAGTACATATATTTTATATGCATGTACATATTTAAATGTGTGTGTGAAACAGGAGTATTTAAAATGGCACTCGTTTGATAGGTTGGAGAAACAAGTATGCTTGTAATCTGTCTTTCCATAATAAAATATTACAAGGGTTTGGGAAATTTGGAATTACCTATAAAATATAAGCTGCACATATTATTTGACTTAAAATTCAACTTCAAAAAGTCTAGAACTAATTGAATGAACTTATGATAATCTGCACAACTATGTTCATTACAGCACTGCTGGCAAAAGTATGTAACAAGGATACCTTAAAAGGAATTGTGTATATTGTATATATTTATATGAAGATATACCATTGACTGTTAAATGAAAAAAGCTAGTTGCACAGAATATCTTGATTTTATCCTTCTGTCTCTATTTTTATCTATCCAGCCTGACTTTTTCCTCTCTTTATGCCAAAACTTTGATTTCTCTCTCAGCGCCATCTTCATATTGTCTTTTTGTGTGTTTGCATCAAATCTCCTCTTTTATAAGGACACTTGTGATTTTAGTATAGTTGTATATTAAATACTTGTATATTTATATGAATATTTACGCATAGTAAACATAGAACAGATAGATATGCATCAAACAATCCACATATCTAAGAATCCTTTTAGTCCTTTTAGTGATTAGTTTGAAAAACCTGTAGCCTTTTGTGCATCGTAGGCAGCGTCTCCTGCTCTTAGTATCTGTTGATCAATACATGTAAGTGAAAAAGTCCAGTGGGTGGGACATAAGAGCTTCAAAATAACTTCAACTCTAAACTTAAGTTTGATTTTCCCTAAACTGTCATGTGTCAGAAGGATTTGCCTACACAAATGTCCTTCATGGTATCTATGTAAATATTTCAAACAGCTGGTATAAACATAGTAGCCACTCCAATAAATGAAAAATTTTTGCACTTATTCAGATTTTGCATCCTCTCATTAAATGGGCACGGAATAGTGCTAGACTCAAAGGTTCTTTTTAAACCTTGGCTTTCTTCACTGATTAAAAAAAATGCAGGTTAGACTTGGGTAACAAATATAAGTCTAACATATAACCCAACAGCAGATGTTCTAATATTTTATCCCTAACACTTATGATAAATTATTATTCTCATATTTAAAACATATTTAAAGGAAATTGTGGGTTAGAAAGTGTGAATATTGTGTCCACGTTTCTCAGCAGTAGATGGGATTTGCACTCAGGACTTTTATCTGCCAAATCTCTTTCCAGAGAACCAGACTATTATATAAAGCAGATTATTAGATCAGTAACTGTTTAAATGTCTTCCTACTTCAAACCCTGCAGGTTTCCCATTTAACACTGAGGTAAAGATCAAAGTATTCATCAACATATTCCACTTAGAGCACTGGTCCAATGTGGTCCCAGTCTCAGTTTCGTTCCCGAACCTTCTTTCTCTCCAGTTCTTAATACATTCTGTCCTCAGCCAGGGTTCCCAGGACGGGCTGCCTGAGACTCACGTGGGAACTCTCTGAACATTCCTGGCCATGAATTTGTGCTATAGTCAGACGAGATGTTCCCACTGGGGAAATGGTTTAAAAGGAACATGAGAACTCTCTGCATCAGCATTTACAACTTTATGAATTCTCCACTGATGTCAAAATAAAAAGCTTAATAAAAACCAAATCTCCAATTGAGCTCATCGTGCTCAATGCCGCTGAACACTACGGGGCCACGGTGGCACCCAGTCCCAGCTCCCACGCCCGGTCTTCCGCCCCTGCCCGGGCTCTCCTCTCTCTGACCTGGTAGCTCGGGGAGCCTGCGCGTCTCTCCTCCGCCGCAGGGTCCCGACGCGGTCCCGGCCTCCCCCTTTCACACGTCTGGGCGCATCGGATCCAATTGTCCGGAGCCTCCCGCTGAGGGGAGATCCGTTAGGGATGTCCGGGGAGGCGTCTCCTCCGCGCACCGGGAGCCTGCAGGCACACCCAGACCCCCCAAGGACCTGCCCCCCCCCCGCGATAGTCTCCCTGGGAGACCCGCAGCGGGGGCCCCTCAGCCCGCGGAGGGGGCGGAGGAGAGGCGAGCAGAGCAGGCGCGTCCGCAGAACTGCAGCCCTCATCCCACGGCCTCCCCTGCTCCGGGCAGTCAGGTGGGGAGTCTGCAGAAGCCGTGCAGGGGCGCAGCGCGGCCGTGAGGGCTGCTCCGGGTCGGCCCTTCCTCAAAGAACTGCTCCTACTTTCTCAGGGGAAACTGAGACTCCAAAGCGAGGATTTCTTTCAATGCAAACAGGCTCCTGGCGGGCTGAGCCCAGGGTGGGGAAAGTGAGCAGCTTCTTTTCAAATGAGCAGAGAGGCCTTGTCCTGGTGTTTTTCTCAAGTCTTTCGGAGGCCTTCTGTTCACATGTATGTCTTGCTGATCTGCGGTTTGAGGTAAGAAAAAAAGAAATAGTTCACTGTGATTAGAAATCTATAGGAGTGGAGGAGCTCCTTTACCTGCAAGACTTTCGTTTGGAAGAAATGGACTTGTCCCTGCACCTTGTGTCATAAACATTCCTATGGGTTTTATCCACAGACTTGATAAGATGCATTTCTTCTCATCATGGATCAAAGCTATTTTTATCATTGCCCTGGAATTTCCTCTTTATTCAGGTGAGTAAAATTTTCAGTCCTGGGTGAGGCATTCCACGTAGCTTAGAAAATGCAGGAAACAGGAGTGCAGGAGCTTGTTTTATGGATCTGCAGTACTTAAACTGGCAAAATGAAACAGGGTATGTTACAAATGCCTTTCTTGAAATTGTCTCAGGGGGTTGATTCCTTTGTCTCATTTCCCACCTTAGAGCGGAGGAGATGAAGAGGTGGGTTGAAAAGAGCAGTCAGTATAACTTAACTCTTTGTTCATCCGTGACTAAAGATATGTTTTTTTTTTTTCTTTTTTAGTTTATGAAGGTCAGATTCCGTGGTAGCTAAATGCAGAATGTGGGGAGTGATGAGGTCTTCCAGATCTAGTATTTCTTGACAATCTGATTTGTTGTTGTGAGTTCTGAGCCCACTAAAGTCAAAGCATTGTAGGAGACTGCTTACTGATCCTTCTGCTGACAACTTATCTTCCTTACTGCAGGAGGGGCCATGAATTTCAGACCAAAGTACCTTTAATGTATTGGTTAGATCCCTTATATTAGGCCTGCAAACTAATTGATTAAGTAGTAGGTTAATTTTTTCATATTAAGTGAATTTATGCCAGGCATATTAAGTTGCATTTAAGCAAGACATTGTATTCTCTGTGATGTCTTATCTAGAAAAATGAAAAACAAACTGTGGTATCTTTGGAGGGTCTGGTGATTATTAAAAAATAGATAAAATTATTTTTCACAGAGTGAGATAAATTTGGAATTTCTTTTTCCAGATTTGGGTTATTTCATGAATTTATTGGGTTATACTGCCCCTTACAAGGCTCACTTCATGTGCAGGGTCCTGAATAGGCAACTGACATAGCATTTTGCTCTTAGAGGATATAGGTACTTCCCACCAGACCCTCTGATTATTTTCCCTTCTTCTTCTGATTCTTTTTAATTTATCTTTTGTGTGTTGGTTGCAGAAACGGCTTTTGTACCTGCAGTAGACATTTGTGAATTGGTAAGTTTATATTAATTTGGGAATTGAAATAAGTAATTTTTAATTTTTTTGTATTGTGTGAACAGCAAATTTCAACAAAATGTATTATAGAATGATCCTTTAAGAAGTAAAAACAAAACAAAAAAGCTTGTTATTATTACACTAATTCTAGAAATAAACCTTGACAGACATATAAAACCATTTGACCTTATAAACAAGGTACAAATATTCCATTGTTAAAAATTCCATTATTGGGCATAAACCTTGTTATATACAAGCATCTGATATGGGCTAAGGGGAGTTTAATGTAGAATTGTTTATTCTAGCAAAACGAGGATTTTTAAAAAACAACTTTCCACTTAAAGATGTGTAAAATAAAAATTTTCATGTATATACAGACATACATATGTACAAATGAAATATGACATAGAAGTGGAGAAAATGAACTATAGTTCTAAACATCTGAATAGATGAAGACTTCAAAGATGTTTAAAAAGCAGTTCAGTAAGAATATACACAATGTTGTTTATTTATGTAAATTACCAAACCACCAACACTAAACAAATTCCATGTTTATCTAGTTACATATACACATATGCAAATACTTATATATGAATACATACATATGTGGTGATCATTTGACACTACTTTATGATGTCATAGTAAAACTATTTAGAAAGACAAAGAAATTATAAAAAATTCAGTTTTATGATTTCTTGTAGTAAGAAACAATGGGGAAAATCTGACCCAGGTATGAAAAGAAGTGGGGCAGAGCAGCTAAATTATAAAAATACATTCAGCCATTTGTTTGTTTGTTTTTTTAAATAATAATTTTGGGTTTGTGAAAAATATACCAATGAGTTGTGGCTAGATTATTTTTAAACCTCAGTATAGAATATATTTCATTTTGATGCATGACAGACATTTTGTATTAAGAATAAATAACATTTTGCTCAAAAAGTTCATTATCTGATAAATTTTATGTTGTTTCTTTATGTTTAACAGTCAGACAGTAGTGTATATGCAGACCAACCACATTTTTATACAAGGGAAATGGATCCAGTCTGTGGAACCGATGGCCAAACTTATTCTAGTAGATGCGTTTTCTGTAGTGAAAAACTGTAAGAACACAAGAGTTATATTGGCTCTTACAAACTAATGAAGAAACCATCACAAAATGATAGAAGACTCCATGTTTCTGATAGCTTAGGCACAGTACATATGGAAGAAATTGCACTCTCTGTAAAAGCCACAGAAACACACTTGTACCTTTTCCTGAAGTTCTCATTTCTAAAAGTTGTTTTATATTTGTTCTTTCTAATATAACTCTGCGGGACATTACACAAATATAGAAATCAATTAATTTAAATTTTTAATCACTATGACTTACTAATGGCAGTCTGATGATCAATATAATGTAATTCCAAAGTCCAGATGATAAATGATAATCTCCGTTATGTAGCTTCAGGCTACAGGGAGCATATCTGGGCAAGAAACCCTACTGACTACAGAACACTGAAGTCCACTACAACAGGCCCATTTATGTCAGGAAGAGACTCTTCTGATGGTCCACTTGGTCTCATGAACTTTGTAATAGACTGCAGACCTTCCTTAGAGAGTAGGGCATTCTCGGACACTTCCCTCCAACCTGTATCCTTCACTCGGAAGGAGTCTGTAATCTAAAAGTCTGGTCAGTCTCTCTGCCTCCCCATTTCCTCTTACAGGTGCTTTCTCTCATTGATCCCAGAATTCTTTTCTGCTTCTAGAGAACCACTAAGACAATCTGTAAGCCTCTCCTCTCTCAGGGATGGGCAGGTCCCAAGACTGAATCAGGCCTGAGTATGTAGGGGAGTCAAGCAGCCGCAGGCTGAGGGGCGACATGTGTAGAGATGGGGACAGGTGGAGCCCAGCTATTCATGAAGTGGGACACGGCACCTGCACGCTGCCGCACAGTCTAATCCTCCTCACTGGGGTGTACGCAGAGCGATATCCAGGTAATTTTAAATATTCTTTCAATAATTTATTTTTCTTTCTCTTTTTCTTTCTTTATAGAGAAAATAGTGGAATATTTGAATTTAGTCACTGTGGTGCATGCTGATTCTGCCTAAACTACACATTCCTATGGCTTTAATTGCAATCCTATTTCATGATGGATTCTACAACCAATTAAGGTTTTGAATTCCTAGATGACCAAGCAAAGCCTTCTGTGATACACAAGATGGAACACAGAATGACGAAGAATTTATCCACCTCTAAGAACCTGTGATTGAAAGATTCTTATTCTCTATGTCCAATTATTCAATTACAGTTCAAAAACTTAATTGTGTGTTTGGTAACATAAAATGTAAAGCAGTTTAAAATCATAAATATTTCAACCAATAAAATGTTAAATATTATCTTTATTAAAATACCCTTTCTTTGGTTGGCTAGTGAGTTAAAACACATGAATATTTTTGGCAACTATAATTAAGGAAACATTTTCAAAGGTGAACAAATAATACATTACTTGTATGTTTCCTAAAAATACAGACACCTGGGCTTCTCTTTATCCTGAAGAATCAAAACCTCCCGAAAAGGGATCTGGAAACTTGAATCCTAACATGTACTCCAGGTTAATCTAATTATCACAAATGTTACACAATATGGTCTTAAATTCTAAAACATAGGTCATATCTGTTATTGAGTGAATTGCAGAGCTACTTAAAGATTTCTGAGGTTAGGGAGAAAAAATTATATTATTTTTCTTCCATCTCACAAATCAATCAAGAGACAGTTTGGTGAGCCTATTCATTTAGGGTCCCAAGCTGATGCTTCTCCGTTTCTCTCCATCCGTCAATCAAGACGAAGCAGTCTTGACTTCTCTAAGATGCCCATTTAAAGTTTGATTTTAGTGGCAGACATGTAGATTGACTACTAAAAGACAAGTATCAATTTGCTATGATATCGGGCCTACTCTATAAATTTTTAGTAAATATTTTCACCTCTAAAAGTGTTCTATGAGGAGGTTACTTACTCATTTACATCCATAGAATTAATTCTTAATGAAAGTATGCATGAGGTTGTACATTTTTAGAGTCACATTATAAAAATGTATTCAGTCATTTTCATGGCCTTTTTCATTATAGAAGACATGTATAAAAAACATTATTCATCCAAGTTTATGATGTTAAATCATACATATATTCTTTTTACTTTTACTCAACATAGTATTTTTTTTAAAAACCACTATAAATTAAGCCCTGTACAATGATAGGAAAAAGTTGGTTAGGAAAAGCAGATTCTATAATCGTTTTCTAGAAATGTTCAGTATATTGATAGAAATTAGTATCCATTAGTGAAGGGAATTCTGCCTTATTCTATGACTATTTTTCACAGAAGCTTTGTGTCAGCTTCTCACATGTCATGCAAGTTAGTTCTTAAAAGAACCTTGTTGGATAAACAACAGCTCCATATTTTAGCCACAAACAAAGTAAGTGAGACAGGAAATTGAACAATATTTAAATCTGACATTTAGAAAGTAAAATACAGTATTTTTGTTGACGTAAAACTTGCCATTTTAAAGCATGTGATTACCTATTTTTTAGTATGTATTTATTCACAATGTTGTACGCCCATCACCACTATCTTATTATAGAACATAATCATCACCTCCCCCTTTCCAAAAAATAAAAACAAAAAAACAACAACCACGTATTTCCTAATTCCCCACCTATCAATCACTGGCCACCATTAAACTACTTGTCTCTCTGGACTCACCATTCTGTACATTTCACATAAATGGAATCATACAGACTGTGAACACTTTTCATAAGAATGGATATCTATCTATCTATTGTATGTGCTCTTTAGTGAATGACTTCTTTCACTTTGCACAATGTTTTCAAGGCTTACTGCTGTTGTAGCATGGATCAGTACTTCTTATGACTGAATAATATTCCATTATATGGATATACCACATTTTGTTTTTCCATTCATCAGCTTATAGATGTTTGGACTGTATCTGCTTATAGGCTGTTATGAATAATGCAACTATGAACATTCTTTTATTTTTTATTCTTTATTTTATTTTATTTTTTACATACCATTTGACATTTAATAATGAAATAGTGAAAAGTTTTCCACACACTCCAGAACCCCTATCCTTTTGTACCTCTAAATTTTCACCTCAACCACTACACAAATAAACTACACACAAATCTCAGCCCATGGAGCCCCTCCAGCTAAGGTCTGGCTACAGACTTAATGAAATGGTAGTAG